GTTCATGCCGCCAAAGAAAAAAATCCAGACCCCCAAAAGGCCCCCCAGCCCTTGGCCCTCCCATCGCCCTCCCCACCCTGAAACCCTCCTGGGCCAGCAGGGGGGAGGGGCAAGAGAGAAAGAGGGAGGGGGCATGGACCGCTCACCTTCAACCAGCAGCCAGGCGCTCGAGGTGTGCAGCCCGGTGCCCAGCGAGTAGAGGCCCATGTCTGATAACTGTGCCCCCTTCACCACCAGCCGGTGGGTCAGCCCGTCGGGGGACACGGACACCTCGTATCTGTCACTGGGCCGGAGCAGCCGCTGCTGGAACTGCCAGGTGGCGCCGGGGCAGGGGCTGGACAGAGTGCACTCGAACATGGCATCGGCCTCCTGCTCACAGTGAGCCCCGGCCAATGGGGCCACCACTCTGGGTGGGACGGCTGTGGGGAGGCAGGGCCCGTCAGCATGGCCTAGCAGAGTAGCCACACAGGCTACCTGACAGCCCCAGTAGCCAGCTGGGTGTCCCCCAGGCCTGACAGGATTTCAGGGGATTAACATCCTAAAGGATCAAACGCTTGTGGTGGTATCCCAGTGAGTCAGTCCCAGCGCTCAGATGCTGCAGAGACAGAGGAGAGCTGCCTGCCTGCGGGGCCAGGCTTCCTGGGCTGCACTGTGTCGATGCCCAGGCCTTTCTTCTGGGGGCTGCTGGTGAGTCCCCACCAGGGACCAGGCCTGGGCAGCTGAGCACCGAGCCTACACGAACCAGGGCTCTTTCTGTGCCGAGCTGAGGGACAGGAAGGTTCTGACGGGTGGGCTATTTTCAGCTCTGGGACTATGTGGTTCTTCCCGGGGGTGAGGTGGGTACCGAAAGAAACGATAGGTCGAATGCTGCTACTGTGTGTGTGTCAAAACCTCTGAGCTAGACACGAGCATCCCCTTTTTACCAATGAGGAAACTGAGGCTCAGAAAGGCTAAATGACTTGTCCCCATCTTGCGCAGCTGAGACTCAAGCCCCCACATTCCTCTTGTTGCCCCGGCTTTCCGAGCCCCACGCCAGGCCCCGGTGTCTCCCTCATCCTCGACTCCTCCATGTCCTTTATCAGACAGGGGCGCTTCAAAAGCTCGTGGGCAAAGATCTTGGACTTGACACATGCTGGACTTGTCCACGACCTCCTCGGAGACCACGTGAGCCTGGCACTTCCCGCCACAGCTCTCCCCTTCCCGCCCAGGAGGCCTTTGCTCAGCGGGGCGGCTCGAGGGGCATGTACACACAGACGCTCATGCGCAGGGGCACTGAAAGCCAGGGTGAGGGAGGAAGGGGCCGTTCCCAGGTGGGGCCAGGGCCGTGGGCGGCTGGGAGGGGACAGGAGTGGACCCTGGCCCGGGAGTTCCGGCAGAGAAGATGATGCATCTGAAGGTGTGAGCGTGGGGCTTCAGCTATGAGACGAGTTTGGCTGTGATCTGGAAACATGCAGGGGCTCCAGAAGGCCTGTGAGGAGTTAAGGCGGCAGAGGGGGCCACACACGGGGCTGTGCTGACCGACGAGGTAGCTGTTCAAAACCACCAGCAGCTCCAAGAGAGAAAGAGGAGGCTTTCCACTCTGAGTCGGTGTCAATTGTGTGGCAGTGAGTCACAGGGTCTGAGAGGGTCTCTGACCGGGAGCATGGCAGTTATGTGGCTGAAACCCAGCAGGGCCCAGCTCAGCACCCTGGGAGGCAGACCTTGGACCCAGGCCATTGAGGGTCAAAGCTCCCCTGGCTTTGCATCCCTCTTCCCACCTAGACTTTGCTGGCCTTGACACGGGGGCTGGATCGCCCCTGTGTCCCAGAGCGTGGCCCTGGCATGAGCCCCACTCACCGCTGGCCTCCAGCTCAGTGGAGAAGACTTCGGCATCCTCCACTCGGACTTGGTACACGCCAGCATCCTCAGGCCACAGGTCCTGGATCTGGAAGTGGTAGCGCTTCCCCAGCCTCCGCAGGCAATGCTTGGTCTGGTTGTCGAAGCCCAAGGGGGTCATCTCGCCGTCCTGAGGCCAGAGAAGGAAGTGGGCTCCGAGTCTCAATCCCACGACACCCCCCACCAGTGTGTGCGTCTCCCGCTGGCCCTGGGCATCAGACAACACATTTCTGGGACCAAAAAGGCAGGGGGGTGGGGGGTGGACAGGGCCTGAAGGATAGGGGATCAGGGAGTGTGAGGTGGAGAAGAACGAATGCTCTAGGACTGTCCATCCCTCTGTCCATGGAGTCTTGCTGCAACAGAAGCTCGGGCAGCAAGTGCAGTCACCACACCAGCTGCCCCTGCCAGGGCAGCAGAGCAGACTGGAGGGGACTCAGCTCACTCATGCTCCAAGGATTCTGAGTCTATAGTCCCCCAAGCTCACTGCTACTCTGTAGGACAGGGTAGAACTGCCCCGGTGAGTTTCCGAGGGCTGTTAAGTCCTGACGGGAGCAGCCAGCCTGCCTCTCTCCCTCGGAGGCTGGTGGTTCTAAACTGCCGGCGTTGAGGTCGAAACCACTTTGCCACAGCCATCTATGCACATACCTGTCTTACCTGAGCCATCTCTAGATTTTCTACTTGTGGAACTATACCCTTAGCTAACATGCTCAGGGGCCCACTGTGGGACAGTCAGGAAATGAAACCAAGATTCCTGCTCTCGGGGGGCTCAAATCAGCACATAATCTATGCCATAAATAAATGCGTGATAGAGTGTA